TTCCATGATTCATTGTTTGCGTATAACACCCAGTGCTCCATGCAGAACGTGCCCTCTTTAACACCCATCACCAGGCCAACCCTTCCCCCTACCCCCCTCCTCTCTAGAACCCTCACTTGACTATGGACTCTGAGGAGTATTCTTAATATAAAAAAAGTATCAACTATAGAGCAAGATGTTTAGGTCAAAGAACAGAAAGGAAGTCTATTAAACTAGGTGGGTGTTAGAAATCCTCACCAACAGCCTGCCTTTATTTCCCAATCATATGCTTCCCAGCATGTTCTAAGAGCATTATCGCTAGGAAAAGAATGTTGAGCTCATGTATCTAATTTTATTTCTACCCAAAATAAGTCATCCCTCTTCATCTAAGAAAAAAAAAACCCTAAGTGATTAAAATGAAACAAAAAAAGGACAATTACTATGATTACTGAACCTTTACTGATAAAGTATAAATAAGTGGGAGCTTCTTTTGCATGACAGTGGCATGAACAAGTATGAACTTTATGGAAAAGTCTGACTCTGTGTGAACCTACCATGCTCCCTATCCTTTCTGTGTAGGGCTTCTGGGTGTGCCTTGTCCTATTTTTAACTTCATGTACAAAACTGAAGTTTATTCATTTCTATTGTCAACAGCTTCCTTAAATTCATCTCCATGTAATAATATATTATCAAATATAGTGAAAGAAATTTTCCACAGTACAATTTCTTAGCTTAAGGCGTTTAAAATAGAGGCTGGAAGATACTGGAATCATACACACTATACTAGCACAAGAAGGTAACATATTGGACATATCATCTAAGTAAATACACACTCCTCTGGGAGTTCCAACATAGGAAAGATTAATTATAGACTAAGAGACAGAGAAAGAAAAGTTTTATTTAGAGAAGTGGTGGGATTTGAGCTGGGCTTTAAGGCATGGGCAGAATTCACATAAGCAGGAAGGTAGGGAACATTCTAGATCACAACAACAGATATAAGCGTAGGAATAAGAAAGAGAATGTGTATGGCACAGTTTAGAGGCAGACAATAAAAAAACAAGTAGTACAAGAGGAGGATTTGTATCTTATCTTTTTTTCCTACCTCCAATATACCCATGAGATAGGACATCCTCCCATCATTAACAGTGGCAGTGGGCAGCAGTCAAGATTTTTCACAGCTGAGAGTCATGATACTAAAACTGGCTTAGGCAGCAGGGCAAGAAGAGGATGGCAAGAAGAGCACTTATGATCTGATTTCAAAATTTCAGATGTTAGGTAAAAGGGTGACAATAATGAGAAAGAAAACACTGACAGAAATAGGAAAGTCCAAAACTGAAGCCAATTTTATTTTCAACAAAACGAGACTCATTTTAGATACACTGACTTTGAAATGAGAAACACTAAAATGTCTAACTGGAGATGTGAGATTAAAAAGTAGAGGGCTTGATAAATATCTGGTAGTCACCAGCATATGGAAGACAGGGGGTATGAAAAAGGAAGGAAACAAGGTGGAGGCATGCATCAGTCAATCCCTAACAAAGGCAACAGAAGCAAAGGGTCTGACAGGCAGGAGAGTATCTGAGAGAACAAAATTCAAGAAAGCAGGAACCAATACAGGAAAGACCAATGGATCTGGCCTTAAGATTATTATTGGTTCTGGGAAGAAAAATTAAAGCATGGGTAAACAGCAGACTAAAGAGGATTACTTGAAAGGATAGGAAGAGGAAAAAATGTCCACATAAAGAAAAAAAGAAAAAGAAAAGAAAAAAACAGATTGGTAGCTAACATGCCAGTAATAACAGAAAAAAACAAAAAACAAAAAAGGTATTTTCAAATTGGTGAGTCCTGTGTGCAGACAGCCCTAAGTGAAGGCAGAAGTCAGAGAAGGAAGAGCTGGAGGATAGATAATAAGGAGATGATAGTTAGGGTATACAATTCTACTACTAATCAGAACATTTATTCTACTTTTACCTGGTACCAATCACTCGGTGAGGCACTGTAACTGCATTATCTCATTTTATTCCTACAGCAACTCTAAGTATTTGGTATTTTTATTATTCCATATTACTGAATAGAAAGCTAATGTATAGAGTGGTTAAATTACTTACTTAGGATTACAAACCTTGTAAGAGTCAGAACCAGAATCTGAATTCAAATTTGTCAGATACCATGTTGTTCCTACAAACTTCTATGCAACACTGAAGCAAAGCACACAGAAGAGTGAATTCCTAATTTGTTAACTTTCAGAAGAAAAACTTTAATAAATTTGTATATAGGCAGTTTAAGGTAGGAAAGAATGTGGGTCTGCCTTCTCCCCTTAACAAACAAACAAACAAACAAACAAAAGTCCAAACCATATACCTTTGAGATAGAATGGCCTTTTATAGCTTTTTCCCCTTGGATCACTTTGGGCCTAATATCTCCATAGAACTTGAGGAACTAGCAGTATACCTCATATGCGTTAACAGTGATCATTTCAGGAAAAAAAGTTGAAGTTAACTGCTGGTTTGTTTTTCAAGAAAAAAATTTTGAACTGAAAGTTTTCACGATCGTAGTTCATAGGAATATAGATAGGAAACAAAAATTTAGAAATTAATTATGTAGCAGATTTTCTAACTTACCTATATTAGGAGTAAAGACTACAGAGATACAAAACAAAAAAGAACTAGTCTTTTGGCACTTTGGTTGCATCTAAAATTTGGTTTCTGTGCTTGAGATATGAGCTCATATAATTACTATCTATGACTTTATAAATATGGAGAAAAGCAAGAACACTCAGAAAAGCCAAGTTTGGATTAGGCAGACACTCACTAATAGGTCAAAATTCCCTTACTTTTCTCCTGATGTCTTCATTATGACATTTCTCAATAGCACCTACATTAGAAAGTGGGGTCAGAAAGCACTGAAGTTCTTTGATTTTGCTATTAATTAATAACTCCAGTAAACTGCCTTTTGCCAGAGAAATTAGAAAATAAAGCACTAGGACTTAGAGTTACTTACAGATTTTAATTATCCATGTTATTCCTTAGTCTGTGCCTCATTACCAATGGGTAAATCAGAGTTAATCAATAGGTAATGAAATCTACTTATTACCATGTGCTTCAGAAAACTGAGAATAATTACTAAAATGAAAAGTGTTAATTACATGTAAATGTTACTTATTCATGTCAGTCTAGTATCTCATTATCAAGTATAACACAGAGATACCTATATTGGGGTGGAGTGAGTCATGAATCTACTAATACAAAGCTTTAATCCAATGTTATCTTTTCAACAAACTTACGTTCAAACATTACGAATTGGTCTGTACTCTGCATGCTCCAAGATGCCTTTTATTTACAGCACACAATGCAGAAAAATTAAATAGACTCCCTCTGCTAATTATACATTCTGGATTTAGCAAAGCTGAAGATTTAACATATACCTTACCATCACAACTAAGTGAAAAAGGACAAAAAAAAATCATGAAGAAATCTTGACTGATAAAAAACTTCTAAAATTGTAAGAAATCAAATATTCAAGGATAGCCCATTTAGCCTGAAAGAACAATATAAATTTCAGTGTTGTTCTAAACCAGCCTTTTAAATTCACATTCTCAAAAGATGCAGTAGGGAAAAACCAACAGGTAAATGTACATAAATAACAAAATACTGTCCGTTGCAAAAACCTTCATACTTTGAAACATTATCTGGCTAAATTTAGAAGGTATCCAGTATTATATCAGTAACTATATCTATCTCTTCAGATTGAGGAAACTTCTATAGATTATTTTATCTTCCATTCTTAAGCTATTTTCAGCAATAATTGCTGAAATTATGTCTCTTTTCATTTCCTAAGAAGCTCAAAAACTGCACAAAAATAATGTAACTGAGGTAACCACCCCCCATTTCACTACCACAAAGGGAAATATATTAGTGATGATCGCTTGACTTTTCCATCACCTTTAGGAAAATTCCAGTATATATAATAAATGTAGTAATCTAATAAAATAGCCAACTTGTAACAAGAAGTCTCTGGCTTCTTCCTCAATCTCTCAGTAAATCATTCTCTCCACCCAGGCACAGTACATCTCAGACAATCTCTGGTGTATGTCCTACATCAAAACAAAACAATGGATCTACCAATTTAGAGCTATCATTCATTTAAAACTATCAGCACAAGCAAGGAAATCGAACATAGAAGTAACATGTTTTAGAAGGCCCATCCATATGCTTTTACTGGCAACTGACAACAGTGCTTCTACATCCAACCTCCTGTATGTACTGGTATAACATTCAGGAAACAGTGCCCCAATAACATGGTCACATGCATTATTTACTGCTCTAAATGCAACACTGCTCAATTTTCTATATTTTTAATGCGTGAAATACCCCTTTTTATATCATTTCTCAATCAGAAACTGAGGTTTTGTTACCTTTTCTATTTGTAAAATGAAGGTACTTAATGCAGCACTTAGTGAAAATGAATTAAATCTCATTATGCTAAAGTTTAAGATATCCTGGCTACTAAGCAACTTACAAAATGCTATTTTAAATTGTTTCATATCATTTCCCATCCTATCAGTATTATAGTATTATGAGAAACAGCCCTTTAAAAACACTAGGTCTCCTTAGCTAACAAAATTTCACATTCGTAAAAACAATTTGTGTTTTGATGATGATGATGATGGTGATGATGATCTCACTCATTTAATTTTATTGGTGTAATAATATTTACACCGTAACTCATTCAAACTTACCTTTAATGATATAATATGTAGGTAAATATTATCTTAAAAATACTTTCAAAACTAGAAATTTATGCTAAAAATACAGCTTTCTCATTGCAGTATAATCTTTGCAGGCCAGAATTCAGAGAAAAACTGATATTTGCAAAAGGCAAATACTTATATCACATAAATAACAGGTATTCCCTTGACCTACTCATCAATACCACAACCATTACATGGTAAATGATCCTATACATTTAAAATGAATCCTCCTAAATCAGAAATAGAATACTGAATTTTATAGTTCACTTACCTGAACCTCGCTTGTCCTCTGTTTAATAGTATCTTCTTTCTCCTTAAGGTCCTGTTCCACATTATTCTTTTCCCTAGAAGACCAGCAAACAATGCAAGAATATTTGAGAACATCAGCTACAGCCGGTATGGTTATCCATCCTCCTAACCCTGAATCGTTTTTTAAATACATAGTGAAACATTCAATTTTTAAGTGAAGGGCAGAGTTTCCACCCTCTTTTAATTATTTATGGAATAGAAATCAATATAAGCTGTTTGTAAAAAAAAAATTGCTTTCTCACTAAAATGTGGTGAAAAGAGAATAGATTAAAAAAGGAAGAGGAGAAAAATAATCAATGAAACACTCAGGTTGCACTGATCTCACTGTTGCTATGGAAATGATGTCCAATGAAAATTGCTGGTGAAAAAAAGGAGGGGTTGCATCAGCTCTGTAAGCTTAACCCTTAAGTACCATGTCAAATCAAATGAAAATGGCTAACAGAAATAGTCAACAATATTAAGGAAGAGGACATTTACTGAAGTGTTAATTTCCCCTTAAATCACTGGTGTGTACCACTTTTAGAATGAAACATAGAAAAAATGGATAAGACTGTCAATACACAGTCCGTTTGCTCCATCAAATACCGCTCTGCTCAAAAAAACTATTTTAGGACCACTTATCAATTCCAGTTGATCAAATACATAGAACAATGTATACTAAGTAAAAAAAGAATTGCATTAGCATTTATCTCTTTCTATACTCTTCAGATCAAACATACTAGGATCCACTTGTAGTCTGAGATACCATTATCTAAATTCTTACATGCTTCCATCAGAGCTAGATTCCTAACGAATGAGTCCTAAGCAACCTTAGATTCAGAATTACAATATAAAGCTATTTCTTTTGATGTAATAAATTTAACTGTTTGTACTGAAATCACACACACACACTGGCTTGCTCTCTTCATTTTTCTTTTCTACAAAATGAGAGAAAAATCCATATAACTCTGCAGCAATACATTTTTGGGTGGGGGTAAAGGTGAAAGAAGGCAACATGAAGAAGGGGGGATGGTATTCAAGAAGTCCTCCAGACTAGTACTGTAGAGTTTCTCCTTAGAGCTTCAAGACTATTATTTCAGTTTCATCCCAGACATCACCCAAACAGAAGCTCAGGTTCCATTAAGCTGTAGCATAAAGGCAAGTGGGAAAATTATACCAGAGGAGATACTTAGGGGACAACTTAACGCTGTATTTTTATTTCTTGACCCTTTCTGAGGTGATATTTTAAATGCAGACAAAAATCAACTGTTTTGGATATGCAGGCACAATGTTCTTAAGATTTGTAAGGGAAAAAAAAAGCCCAAGAATAAAAGCTATTTGTATACTGTTACTTTTAAACACTTGAGATGGCCAAGGAGCTCACTAACCATTTGTCAGATGGGTCGCAATGTGGGTCGTGATGTCGCAGAGATTTTAAACAGTCCCTTACCATGAGAATCATTGTTGCAGCCCATTCCTCCCATACCTCAATCTACTTATTATGCAAAGGTCATCCCCCACTTCCCTTATAAAATCAGGTAAAATCAAAAAATAGAAATCACAGGAAGAAAAATCTAAATATACCACACAAATTCTGCAAGCTCAATCTTGGAAATTTTTCCTTTCCTCGAGTGAGCAGAAGAGTGTTTTCATTCCTGCTGCAGCATGTCAGAGATAAGTCACATGAAAAACTAGCCCCCTTCCCCAACCCCAAATTCTCAGAGGCATTCCACACAGGGTGAGTATCAATTTCTGACAGCAGCTAATGACAAAAATAGAAAACATCACACAGTATCATAGATCAGCACTGCATACACTAATGTGCATGTTTGTATTCAATCCTTTCTGCTTCTCTGTTAACTGCTGTTACTGACAGTGTCTGCTCAAAGATCAAGTGTGCAGGCAGGAAAACAGGGCTGCAAGAAAGCAGTGAGCTGACAACGCAGCCAAGACAGAAGAATAAGAGAGCTAAAAAAAAAAAAAAAAAAAAAGGAAGCTTGCTTGGTGAAAATGGAAAACAGATTACAAAGGACTGTCAGCTCTAACGAGCAAATACAGTCTGTGTTTTGGTAAAATGGAGGAAGCTTAGAAGGTACAGATTCCCTTTCATAATTTTGGGTATAGGAGTGAGGGCAGCAGTAGTGATATCTCCAAACATATCCCAAAGACCATTTCCAACTAAACAAAATATGGGAGTGTCAGGAATTCTCATAGTACTGAGATCAATTAAATTTAACTTTTGATCCACTTTTATCTAATAAAATTCTGGCCTCATAATTCCTTTATTATCAAAACCAAGTAGTATAAGAGACAATGTGTAAATGTGTAAATTACTAAAGAGAAAATGTGTAAAAAAAAATCAGTTATATTACCTTCTATTAAAACAATCACAATTGAAAATCTGTCCTATAAATCAGACTAAAAATCAAATTATTTTCTCATTAACTTAGATTATAATTTCAGGGATGCCAAATTGTTATTCTGTGATATTCCATTGACTCTTTTTCTTTTCTTTTCTTTTTTTTTAAAGATTTATTTATTTATTTGAGAGAGAGAGAATGAGAGAGATAGAGAGCATGAGAGGGAAGAGGGTCAGAGGGAGAAGCAGACTCCCTGCCGAGCAAGGAGCCCGATGTGGGACTCGATCCTGGGACTCCAGGATCGTGACCTGAGCCGAAGGCAGTCGCTTAACCAACTGAGCCACCCAGGCGCCCTCTTTTTTTACTTAAATACAATTAGCCAACATATAATACATCATTAGTTTCAGATGTAGAGTCCATAGACTCTTAACCTCTATAGCTATCCTTCTCATTTCGGGCAAGTAAGAATACCTAGATACATTTAGGTGCATGAAGATGCTTAGGTGCAAGAGAACGGGACCTGGGTCATATTTCTTACATTCTCCTTTCTTTCAAATAACATACATTTTTCTACAGGTGATGGATGCATAACTATACAAAGCATGCTGTTTAACATTAATAATTCAAAAACTTAGTTTTTTTTTTTTTTAAAGATTTTATTTATTTATTCGACAGAGAGAGACACAGTGAGAGAGGGAACACAAGCAGGGGGAGTGGGAGAGGGGGAAGCAGGCTTCCTGCAGAGCAGGGAGCCCGATGCAGGGCTCGAGTCCAGGACCCTGGGATCATGACCCGAGCCGAAGGCAGACGCTTAACAGACTGAGCCACCCAGGCACCCCTCAAAAACTTAATTCAAGATTCTGTGCCACAATAAAAAATATTTATATGTAGTTTTCCAAGGAGCCCACCAATACATGTGGGTAAAACAGATTTAAGATATATTTCAAAAATAGGTGTGTGAGCATTTTGCCCAAAGCACTACTCATCTTGGATGACAGGAAAGCTATTGCCTTCAGCTTAGAAACTTCCAGAAGGGAAAAGAAAAGATCACACATACCTTCTAATTTAAGACTATCTCTGTGACCCTATTCACTCCCAAGATTCTGGCACATCCTAAAAAACCCACAAATACCAATGCTTTAAATAAAGAAAGGCCGGGAATAAGACTCCCTAGTTTCCAAAAGCTGCTGGTTCTGATTCGGTGGAACCCAGTATGTAAACCAGCAAGAAAAGCAAAACCCAAGTTAGGCTTTCAGAAGCCTAAAGTTGGTAACTGCATAAACCTACTATGAAGTAGTCAAAGCTATTCACAAGAACAGTCAGGCTCAGGGCCCCAAGTCCACGAAGTTCATTTTCATTTCCCCAGGCTCTGTTTATGGGAAGAAGGGAGTGAGCGATCTGTCTTAATTTTGATATAATACCAACATTGTCAGAGAAACAGGTTTAAGTCACCTTCAAAGCCCTTCCCAGAAACATAGTTTTAGTTTTTTTTTTCTGAATATAAATATCCATTATTTCCCAACCAGAGAGCAATAAAAAGAGAAACAAGTTAGAAACCAAAAACCAGTTAGTTAGAAACTCATGAAGGGGGACGCCTGGGTGGCCCAGTCAGTTAAGCATCTGCCTTTGGCTCAGGTTATGATCCCAGGGTCCTGGGATCGAATCCTGTATCGGGCTCCTTGCTAAGCAGGGAGCCTACTTCTCCCTCTGCCTGCCATTCCCCCTGCTTGTGCTCTCTCTCTCTGACAAATAAATAAATAAAATCTTAAAAAGAAAAAAAGAAACTCATGAAGGTATATTTTTCAACCCTGAAACTTATTGATAAAAATCTTTTTGGGCACATTTTGGGATCTTATTATTAAGTAGCTTAACTGCCAAAATCTATCAAGCAAACACAGAAAAGCAAGCTATTCTCATTACTCTTGTTACTATTCTCATTACTACAATAGTCTTTTTTTTTTTAAGATTTTATTTATTTATTTGACAGAGAGACACAGCAAGAGAGGGAACACAAGCAGGGGGAGTGGGAGAGGGAGAAGCAGGCTTCCTGCGGAGCAGGGAGCCCAAGGCAGGGCTCGATCCCAGGACCCTGGGACCATGACCAGAGCTGAAGGCAGATGCTTAAGGACTGAGCCACCCAGGCGCCCCACTACGACAGTCTTTAGTAAAGCATCTAGGTCTTACAGACAACAAGAAAATGGGACTAAAAACTGGAGACAGATTCTAATCTGGCTCAGCCATGAAACAGTTTTTTTTTTTTTTACTCTGATGATCACTAACTTTCAGAGCCTCAGTCTTAATTTTCATTATGCAGATGCTAATATTTCTACCATCTTAAGACGTGCAAGGTAAAATGTACAAGATGTCATGTAATTAGGAAAAAAGCAGGCTTTGAGCCTATGCTGTGCTTGCTTTTTGCTGATAACGTTAACATTACTTATAATTTTAAATAACACTGATGGAGTAATTTTTAAATTGTTAAAAGGAATTATGGGTTGCAATAAAATTTAGAATACATTGATCTAATGCATAGAATATATAATGTAATCAATGAAATTTCTGCCCCCAAATCTTGCTTAATATTCAAATAACTATTCCCTACCTTTAGAAACTCATTATATGGTTTTCAAAGCATAAGATTCGGTATAAAATAGCCCAGAATTCAAATACTGACTCCATCACAGGGCATCTTACTTAAAGCACTGTAGTAACAGTTATTTGTTCTGGCTGACCCTCCCTTCTCCTAGGACCCAGAAATCCTTTTGGGAAACTGCTCCTCTCCTTCTCCCTTACC